GTATTAACCACAGAGATTAAGAACAAAAGAGAAAGAAAACTGAAATTTCATTCAATGGAGGTAAACCGTACAGAATGTCCCAGACAAAATGTCTAAAAACAGCCTACCTTCCTTTCCCCAACCATATTCTATTTATAATCTCCTCATATAACCAACAGTAGTTAATAGCAACAACCGAAAATAACAATCACCTAACTATTCTATTTACTCCTTCTAGAATAAACCCGGCCTAAGTATTTATCCTCCTTATTCATTTCAGCTGCATCCCTATCATACTCCCCTCCTAAACATCCACCTTGCCCTCAAGGTGGGTGGTAGGAAACAACCAGGATCTTCTGCTTCCTCTTCTTCCTGGTGCCTCTCCCTTTCCAATATTTGACTGATTTCCGGACCTTTAGCTTCATTACTTCCATCTTCTTCCACGTTTGCTCCACATCAGATATACACAGATGCAAGGACATGGTGGCATAATTCTCCTTAATGTTGTAAAGGATATAATATCCCAACATTTCCCCTCTGTTGTAACCTTGGCTTTTCTTCCAACTTCTTTTCCCGGAGCCTGATTCTTTCAGATTCTGTGAAGGATAAGGTGCCACCTGTTGCAACACAGAATACACCTACTTGCTTTTGAACACCTTCTGGTTTTAAAGTTAAATCCATGAGGTGTTCTATTTTAGGGACATCAATTACAACAACCTGAATAGTAGTGTCCAGATTCACACTGATTCCACCCATCTGGTATTATGAAATAAGTCCAGAAACATCACCATGATTCTTAAATTTGATAACAGCACCAGATTCCTTTATTGTCTGAACTTTTTCTTCAACAATGCTATCAAGAGAGAACACATTAGCCCATCTCAGTCCGGAACGAGATGAGCCCCAAATTGCAGAAAGTACCAAATGGCAGCCCTTTACTGCCATAACAAATTTGACATCTGAGTGAGTACCAACTGATCCTTCAATTGCATGAGTTTGTGGATCACCCTTCACCAATTTCTTTGCTAAGGCACCTCGGAATAATACCACGCCTTCACCGACAAGAGCGTGGTCATTACTATCAACATAAGTAGCACACTTCTTCATCCACCTTCTCGTAGTAATTGTGTTAACACTGTCGCCCACTTCCCCATCCTTATCTCTTTCCTTGAGAATCTCAATCCATTTATCAGCAATTGTAACATGGAGCAAACCACCATACCCTAAACCCCCATCTTGGACAGGTATACAATCTGCTGGTATTCCCTGAACATTTTCACCAATAGTTAATGCATCTGTGAAGAAACCAGGAGTCAGATCCTGAATCTGCTCTTCAGGGAGTCCTGAGCTAGAAAAAACTTCAACTCCCTTTGAGACTTTCCCCCGTGGCCTATGATCGACAGTGACTTCATTTTTGCCTGGGTCACCCATAACACCCACGGACAGCAGCTTGGTCTCCATAGAAGAATTACCAGCTTCTCTAGCGGAACCTTGCCCTAAACTGGAGGCCCTCGGAACATCCTCAGCACTGTAAGGAACCAACTGAACTCTCTCTTCTATATTTTCCCTGGGGCGTGAAGAATTAATACCTTCCGAGGGAGGTTGTGGCTGAATAAAAGACTCCAGATGGAACAATTGAGGTTCTGCATAGTGAGAAGTAATTGGCATCAGAACCTGTGGACCCGTCGAGTTGGCCGCTGAAACCTGCGAACCGAAATATACTGCTTGCGAAGAAACTGGAGTAGTGGGAGAAGAGGTTTGCGACTGAGATGAAACCTGCGAACTCAGAGGAAAGGCTTGAGGCGAAGAAAGCGAACAGTGATAATCGATTGGCGATGAAGATGGAGATTCTTCACTCAATCGCGCCTTTCTTGGTCGTGACCTAATAGCTGGTGAAGAATTCTGCGACCGGTAAGAAATTGTTCGCGATTGCGAAATATGAGAAGAAGTTCGCGATTTAGACTGCGATGAAGAATTATGTGAATGGTGAGAAACCGTTCGCGATTGCAAAATATGAGTAGAAGTTCGCGACTCCTTCTGTGAACTGTTGAGCGACTGCGACGAACGATGTTTAGGGCTCCTTGCTCGAAGTGTGATGTTGTTACTCTCTCCATGATCACAATTTCTTGCGTGTCCATGGTGCGAAGTACTTGATCGATGCGAATGACTCCTCGCTCGATCATGAATTCTGACCTGCAATTCTGCGATGCTAGCTTGCATCACCGCTTGCATCGCGGCCATATTAGCTGCTATATTCGCCAAACTATACATGCGCGCGTATATCTCATCCAGCGATCGACACACTCTGATACCAATGATAGAAACTTCACAATTCCAGTATTAATCACAGAGATTAAGAACAAAAGATAAAGAAAACTGAAATTTCATTCAATGGAGGTAAACCGTACATAATGTCCCAAAGAAGGAGATAAAACTCCAACTTCCCAGTCCCATACAAAATGTCTAAAAACAGCCTACCTTCCTTTCCCCAACCTTATTCTATTTATAATCTCCTCATATAACCGATGGTAGTTAATAGCAACAACCGAAAATAACAATCACCTAACTATTCTATTTACTCCTTCTAGAATAAACCCGGCCTAAGTATTTTTCCTCCTTATTCATTTCAGCGGCATCCCTATCATTCTCTTGGCTTCATATATATTCTCTACTTTCTAGTTCTCTTTGCTTCATCTTATTGTACACATTCTATTACACTATATCTTCTTATTATCATTTGATATTTGAATTGTATAAAACTTCATATAATCTAACTTAGTTAATAGTTTCATACACTACACAATTTATGCTACCCCTAGTCCTCAAACTGCAAAATCAGCTAAAACAAACCCTACTTGGTGTTTTGTTTTTGTGAACCATGACTTTATTTTTGTGGATTCTGACTTTGTTATTGAGAAACATGACTTTTTAATGCATTTAGTTCAATATGATGTTGAATATTTCATATTTGATCACTCTAGAATAGTATATATAATACTTTCTAAATAGTGTGCTCCTTGTTAGCTTTTTTGCGTTTAAAATGCGTTTTAAACACGCACCTTTTTTTTTGAACAAAACAACGCGTTTAAAACGAAAAATAATGTCGGTCCGTTTAAAAAGGAAAAAAACTTCCACTTCCTGTATAAAACATATATTTCCCGTATTTTACAAAAAATAAAAACATCATTTGATCTCTCGAATGAATACATCAAATGAATAGGAGATCAACAATAGTTTAAAAGCAAAAAAGAAAACCTCATCCCCGTGACCTCGTGTTTTTGTATTGTTACAATACGAAATATACAATTGTTAAATACTAAAATTAATTGAATGATGACTAAAGCTAGTATCCTAAAAGACTAAAATCTAAAATACTACTACGTATTAGATTTGTGATGTTCTTTTCCAAACAAGCATATCAATATTAAGGTTTTTCTAAACTTGACATTTTTTAGTATAAACTTTTACACGTAAACAATAATAATTGTAGCAGTCGCACAACTTTCTCATGTCATCCGTCATCTAGGTGAAAATGATGAGTTTAACTTGAGTGTTATCTGATGATCATATAAAGATGATGATGATGTTAACTTGGCCTCATTCTATCGTTATTATGCCTTATTTTCTGACATTACTTTGCAAAATTATGTCTTGGACTTAATTACTCTGTACTATTTTTAATTTTGTCATCGACTTGTGCAATTACGAATTATTCTTTTATGTAGTAATGTGATTTGCTACTTCAATATGTGTACACTCTTATTTGTTATTATTATGTGTTATTTTATGAAGTATATAATTTAAATGTTATTTTGGACTTAATCATTATTTCTTTTTTGTCATGAACTTATGCTATTATGAATGCATTTTTTTATGGAGTAATGAGATATTATATTTGAATGTGTGTGTATGTTGATTATCCTTTATGTACTATATATTTTTTATGCTCTAAAAACTAGTACAATAATTTAATCATTCAAAATAAGACCCGTATTTTTAACCCGAATTTTTCTAAGAGATGCTGTATTATACATGTATACGTATTTACATGTTTTATAAAAGTCAACGTATTTTTTGCCGAATTTTTGACCATATTTTTTGTTCAAGTTACCGAATAAAACACGTACGTATTAAACCACGTTTAACTCCAGTACCGTATTTAACTAACTATGAGTGCGAGCGCTTCTTTGCGCCTTGCGCCTCAGGTGATATAAATACTCTAGCGCCTTGAGTGCGCCTTGCGACTTTGACTACCTTGCTAATACCAATGATAGAACACCACTCCTGAACACAGTAACAACACACTCCAACTCAATATGGTTAGATTTATTGATAAAACTCAAAATCAAAGTCTGGGAACAATGAAAGATAAAGGAACGAAATAGCAGAAAATAAAATTGAGATCTTTCAAGAGGATCTCGCTCTCCCAGTTCCGAACAATTCCCAGGTGCCTTTCTCTTTCCGCTTCAGTTTTCTTTTATTCGTTTCCTCTCCACCTGCGGACTATCCCCCTGCCTCCGCTTCCTTTCTCTGGTCATTTACCTTCTTGGTCCTTTTATAAACTTTTGAAAAATCCCTGTTGGGATTTATGTTGAATAAGGCAGTGCTTGTATCAAAAGTAAAAAGTTTCAATCAATGATCCATCAGTTGCGCAGAATACTCGATCAAATTTCAGATTATTGTCTTGGTGGATGACATGTAAAGGTAAATTTGTGAGATATGTATCTACAGGAACATTTTGTAAAAACAAAAGAAGATAAAGACTTTCCCTAAGATTATAAATTTAATCATGCTACTTGTGTAAAATTGCATATTTTTTAAGTAGTTGATGATCTGTGCAGAAGTGATTTTATTTGTTTTAACACTATTTTTTGTTTTTCTCTTAAAATTTATTATTCATATTCATCGACCCTTTGTAAATACTAAATAAGTTCTATTGGTTGAAATCGTCCGTCATATTTTCAGTTTAATGTATGGAACAAGATCGATAGTCTAATTTGTTTTGATGCTTTTATTTGCAGCATGATCCAAATTTAATGCCAGATGAAGCATCAAAGAAGTCACCATCTTTGATTGAGGTCTAACAGATATAATCGGTAAGGAGTTATCATTGATAGCACCATCGTTCTAATTATTAGTTTCTTCTGGAGTCATGTTTACAGAAGACGTGAGAATATTATGAATAATGTCATTGAGTAATATAGACTAACTGTATTTTACAATCTCTCTACCAAGTAGCTCTCAAGTGCGTAGAAACATTGTACATTTTGTTTACTTTTTCTGAACTGTAATAGAGTTTGCAATCCCATGTATCTTTGGCAGAACACTGATGAGGTTTTGACACCAATATATGACCTTTTTACCTCACCCTCACCTAGTGACCACTGCCCAGTAGTGATCACCGCCTACTGATGACCACTGCCAGACCCTGTGACCAACGCCTGATAATTACATCACTGCTCCAATGATCTAATTTTTGATTGAAAGTTGCAACCAGGGACATAACAATTTCCGTCCATTGACATTGCAGACCTGCCCTTGGCTAGTTGGCATTGCCACTCCCGCCACCGGGTAGTTAAAAGTTAAAACCACCACCCGCCCCCACCCATCCATGCCCCCCACTCCCTACCACAACCTTCTGCCGTGACCCATCCGTTGCAACTCTCCCACTCACTGCCCCAATCTCCGTCCGCCGTGCCCACCACTGTTAATCCTAGCCTCCTTTCGCCATGCCCACCACCTGTAACCCTAGCCATTGTTGTTCACCCATCATAACCCTGGTTGCCGCCAAACACAACTTGTAACCCTAATTACCACCGTTGCCCACCACCTACAAGTCTCCAACCTTTGCCGCTGTTTCAGCTTATTCTCGTAACCCACACATACACACACGAAGAGGAGAGTGAATCGCGTGAGGGGGCTTCGACCAGTGGTACTTATCGGGGGTACTAGCGGAAAGGTTGGTCCACGGTTTAACATGGAAAATGCTACAAGTACAAACAAACTTACAAATATATAAACAAATGCTGTTGCTATTGGAATTTGGAAATATCTTTGATGTAAAACTGATGTGAAGTGTTAAACAATATGATGATGTCACCATGCCTCTTGTAAGACTTCTTGTTAGAGCGTGTGTACCTCTAAGGCTCTAACATAACTCGTTTAACATTGACTGGCTGAGAATTTGCTAACTCATGATGTGGCAAACATTGCATCATTGGCAACCGTCAATTCTGTGCATCTCAAATCATGGCGGTGGCAGACGATCTCTAGAAGCGCACACAGTGACACTAAACTGGATGTACGCTCTATTTGCTAGAAGAATCAGCAAGGGCATTGGAGTGTTTTTCAATCGCGTTGATTGTGTGGTGAACTCTCATGGTATTCAGATAAAAATCTAGCGGCCTGGGCAGTGAGGTGATAAAATCAATTCGAAATCAGATGGTATTTTGGTCTTCTGGTTGGTGCTAGAATCAGATGGAACTCCATGGCACTGTGAGGTTAGGAACGGGACCTTCAGAGTAGTGAAATCCCATATCTAACACAACATAATTCAGAGCAAAACTTTTGCTTTAATTCATCATCATCTTCTATCAGTTCTATGTAGTATGGATGGACCCGGGTTGGCTCGGGCCGGGCCTAGGCCAAGCGGTAGCGGTTCTGGAAAAGAGAAGCCCGATATGCTCTAGTACCGGTTCCAGTCCTGGCTGAAACAGTACCACGGTCAGGCTCAGGTCGGTACCCACCCATTTATTTAAAAAAAATTAGAAAAGAATAGCCGATTCGAGCCCAAAAAATCAAGCCTGAAGCTTGCCCCCTTATAACCACCGGTCTGGGTTCGGGCAGGTACGGTCCCGAAAAATCAAGCTTGGATGAGTACCAATAGTACTGGTCCCGGGTTGGTCCCGGGTCTGACCGCCCGGGCCCAGTCTATCCCTATGTAGGAGTGGGCACAAAAATTTGAAACCAAAAAGTTGAAAACTCAGAGCTTTTTTCAATTAACCATACTGAAATTTTCAAATTTATGGTACAATTAATCGACTTATAGAAATGTACGGTTCACGGTACTTTCGGTTTTAGAAAACACTTGTGTTAGCTAACCAAAAAATTGAAATATTAAATATAGGGAAATTTCCCGGGATATTACTAAAACATAGAGTTTCCCTAAATATGACTAGTTATGTTTTTAGAGATTCGCATTATAGAAAAAAAATAAAAAATCGTTCATATTAAAATATTTAATGATCAAAATACCCTTATTAAAGTGTGCATTTTACACTATTTTTATCCAATTAAAAATATTGCACCTTAAACTGCAGTCATTGTACGACATTACTGAACAACATTGTTGCACATCTGGTAAGAATCATTGCACTTCCTACCAACATTAATTCTCTTCTCATCCACGTTACAAATTTATTTATATTTCTTTTTGTATTTATTTTTGAAATAATGACAAATATGTGACTGAAATAAAAGTAGTGGACAAAAATATGACATAGTGACTACCATAGTAACTTGAGTGACCATGATTGTGTTCAACTATACCACTATAGTGACTTCCATAGTAACTATAGTAATGTTTTTATCCATTAATTATATTTTGGTAATATTTGTGGAAAAATTTCTTAATTTTTAGATGTAATAACTTTTTTTTATCATCAACTGACAGCTTGTAATAATTAATAAAATCGTTAGCCAGTTGGCTTACAATGTAATTAGGAGGAACATAAAAAATACTCCTATGATCTGAGAGGAAAACATGAGCCCTTGCCAACGCGTGAGCCACATGATTCGCAGATCGCTTACAAAAAGAGATATTATAACTACTCTTTGTTGAAATAATTTCTCGAATATCATCCAAAACTAAATCTAAATAAGCCAAACCTCCCTTCTGCCGAATGCCATGGACTACCGAGAGAGCATCCGTCTCGAATTCCACATTCCGCCAGTCCGCTGCTGCCGCCTTCTGCATTGCACCCCTCAGGCCCATCGCCTCTGTTTCCTCCGGGGTCCAGCTTGCTTCTGTTGACACTCCACCTGCCTTAATGAGTTCCCCCATCTCGTCTCTCGCCACCCATCCCCAGGCCCGTCTGTTTCCACTCGCATCAACGGCCGCATCCACATTTATTTTGATGAATTCTCTTCCCGGTCTTTGCCATGTCAGTTTCTGACCACTTCCCTTCCTCCTCTCCTTCTTGGGTACTTCCCCTTGTGCCCCCTTCCAATTATTTACCATGCTCATAGCACTTGTAATAACTCCTTCTATTCCTTGCCATTCCTTCCAAACGACACCATTTTGTCTCTTCCATATACCCCACAGAAGAGCAACGAATTTGCATTTTTGATCCATGGTGGCATTCCTGAGCTGATATCTAATCCAGTTCTGCACATTGGTGACCCCCGTGGCTCTAGTAACTCCGATCTGATGCCACACATCTTGGGAATATCCACAATCCCAGAAAACATGCTCTAGATTTTCGGCTGCCCTTCCACAAAGTTGGCTTGCCTACTAGTTGTACCCCTCTTTTATGCAGGTTATCCACCGTTGGAAGCGTCCCATCCAAAACTTGCCAAATGAAATATTTAAATTTTGGTGGAACCTCAAGGGCCCACATATTAGCCCAATAATCTGCATTCCCAGTAGGGGCCACATAGGTAAGTTTCCTGTAGCAACTCTTAACCGAGTACTCGCCATGTTTCTCTTTTGTCCACCAAAAACCGACGGGCCTGTCCGTTTTACTAATGGGGATGCTCAAAATGATATCTCTATCCACCGCCTCAAAAATAGAGGAAATTCTCTCTTTATTCCACGCCTTACCCGCATGGTCTCGCAATGATGCTACATTCATGTCTCTAATCCTCGAAGGTCTAGCAGACTGAACCCGACCTGAACCTTGTCCCGGTAGCCACGCATCTGCCCAGACCTGCACCGCTCTGCGATGGGTATTCTTCCTCAGAATCTCTTGGGTTTCAAAAAAGCTTCTCCATATAAACGAAGGATTATTCCCCAACTTTGCATTCAAAAAGTCCGTGTTTGGGTAATACCTCACCTTAATTACCCTACACATCAGACTATTAGGTTCAGTGATTAGCCTCCACCCCTGTTTCACCAGCATAGCCAGATTAAACTCTCTGATTCTACGTAACCCCAAACCTCCTTCATTTTTTGGTTTACACAAAAGCTCCCAACGACGCCATCAGATTCCTTTCTGGTCGAATTTATTACCCTTCCACCAGAATCCATTCATTAGCTTCTCAATTTCATCACACAAATCTTTAGACAACAAGAAGACATTCATAACATAGTTTGGTAGAGCCTGTACCACATTCCGGATGAGAACCGCCCGCCCTGCCCTGGATAGAAATTTATTATTCCAGTTTTTTAACCTGTTCATCACCCGATCCCGCAGATAACCCAGAATGGCCGTTTTATTCCTCCCCACTAAAGTGGGCAGCCCCAGATAGCGCCCTTGCCCGCTCTCTCGTAGTATGTCGAAGAACGGACATCAGAAGTTTCTTGTGGGCTCTCCCACATTCTGGCTAAAAGACAAGGAAGATTTCGAGTAATTTATGACTTGGCCAGAAGCTCTTTCATAGGTATGCAAAATGTTTTTGATGGCATTGCACTCAGAGCTGTTAGCTTTAAAAAATAAAAAGCTATCGTCTGCAAAAAGTAGATGCGAGACTTTGGGTCCCCTCTGCAGACTGCCACTCCATGGACCTCCCCTCTTGATTCTGCCTTACGGATCAGCGCTCTCAGACCCTCAGCCACCAAAATGAATAAATAAGGAGACAACGGATCCCCTTGATGAAGACCTCTACCTAGCTCAATAGGTCCCAAAAAATCCGTGTCAAATTGTATATGAAAACTGTCATTCGTGCGTAGCTATCTGGCAACAGGCAGGAACCAACGGTAGGAATGTAGACTTAAAGGAACAATCATTGCCCTACGTTCAAGACGTTACAAGAGTCTAATTCGATTAAACATGTAATTAATACCATTTATTGTATCAGTTTCCTCCTAAAATACTAGTTCCTATAGTCTACAAATACTTCCTGTAAATTTCCTATCAAGGGATCGGACTCCGGAATAAAGAATACTGCCTTATGCTGCCATATTTTCATTTGCTCTCGTTGATATAGCTTCGTAGTTGGATTAAACTCCATCATTTGGTGCTCTTGTTGAGAGAACGATCTGCGAGGACGATGGATGGATCACACAGTCACAATCGCATGGGTAGCAATCAAGGCGACGATCATTTCAATCAAGTCGTGATCGAGGACGAAGCACCTAAGTCACGACAGAGCGATTTCCGGAGACGCAACGACAACACCGCGGCTCAGGGTGATTTGAGAAATC